GGGAGCTGCGCGTCGCCGGCTGCCGTGCGGGGCCGACCTGCGGCCTCGGGCCGAAACGGGCGCTGCCGTCGCTCTGTTGCCCACGGGCTCGTGTCTCGCCTTGCCTGATGCGCGAGGCTCGCGTTTAGTATCCGCGTCTGCGTGTTTCAACGTCCCTTGGCTGTGCTGTCGTACAGTTAAAAGATGTGAGACGACAGTGATGGGCGCGGGGTAGTTAGCCTGGCTTAGTGCTTGGGGGATGGGCTCGGGCAAGGGCCCGAGTGCATCGTGTCTGTAACAGGTAGGTGCTGGGGGAGCAGCTGTAGGTGCTGGGGGAGCAAGGGAGGCCGCTGTGGGGCTGCCCAGCAGCGCTTCTCCACACGGGCAGCTGGCCAGCTAGGAGATGTGGGAAGGGTTCCAGCTGGCACTTTCAGTAGCTTAAAAGTGGAACAAATGCTTACGTTTCTGAACAAAAAGATAAATGGATCTATGTTGCCAAATACATGCACCATATTCTAGAGGGATGCCCCCTTCAGGGCAGAGGGTCAGATTTATGGAAACTTGGTATTAATGAAAAATTATTTCTCATGGGCATATTTTGGAATTAAGATGGTGTTGGTGTTGACAAACCTGACTTAGCAAGCTTTCTCTACCTGACCCACTGGCAAAACAAGTTGTTGTACCTCTAGGCTGTCAGAGGCAGGCTGTTACTACTATGAGCAGTGTTATATTCCACTGTTTTTATTAGATTTTCTTTTGGCTGTAGTGCTGACTTCAGACATTAAAAATAAATAAATAAATAAATTGGTGTAAAATGTTTTCTGGAGAAATGCAGCTTTTTCCCATGTGGGAGTTTGTGTTCTATAAAACATGAAATAGATGTGATAACATGAAGGTATGTCTGGTAGCTTGCTGAAGTCTTAAAATAGTTTACGATGATAATGCGTTAGACAACTGTGCTTTACTGTAGTAGCTGCATGCAGCTGTCTTTGTTACCTGGGAAATGGTGTAAGGCTTCTCACTTCAGGGCAGGCCGCTAAATGTGGCCTTCTCAAGCCAGCTGTTCAGCAAGCTGATGCTGGAGCAGATCCAAAAGATGTGCAGGGAGCAACTGTGTCGCTTGCTGCCTTTGCTAGTGTAGGAAGGGCTGTAACGGTCCCCTGGACGCATTAGTGAGCAACTTGTGGAAATAATTTGTTTCTTTGCAATCTGATTATAATCATGTGGATAACTCTTCCTTACTGTAGTTCCGGAGTTTGTGTGTGGGGGGGGGGGGGTGTGTTTTTTTTCTCTCTCTTTTGTTAAATGTATGTCCCAAGAAACTGGTGTGCTAAAATCTGGGAGAAAGTAGTGAGAATAGCCATAAAGGAAAGCTTTTTTAGATATCTAAGCTATAATAAACAAGATGAGAGGAACACTTGAACATTTTTTAAAATTAAATAATTGAAATAGACAATTTGGAATTTGGCACATTTTTCATGTAAGTGCTTTATAGGAGAATACTTTTTCTTAGGTATATTAGCAGGTTTTGTAAACTTAAAAAAAAAAAAAAAAGTTTTGAAGGAGAGGAAGGGTGGGAACATGCGTATGGTGAAATCATATTGGAAAATATATGTCAAAGTGCATAAAGTGAATGTAAGAGAACCCCTTATGCCAGTTAATATACTGAGATGAGAGAAGCTGCAGCTTATGCGGGATCTTGAGTTTTCTAAAGCATCACTCTTATGGTGTCATAACATTGTAGGTAATTTACAGCACCATAGTTATGTAAGTACAGAGAAGGATTTATGACTGCAGTTTTTATCATATATGATATTTTACATACTGGAGCAATGTGATATTTTGGTTAGTTAATAAAATGTTTTCTTCTCTTTTTTGTGTAGGCTGCAGAAACTGCTAGCTTGGAAGAGCAATTGCAAGGATGGGGAGAAGTGATTTTGATGACTGATAAAATTCTTCGCTGGGAGAGAGCCTGGTTTCCTCTTGCACTGATGAGCGTTGTTTCCTTTACTTTCCTGTAAGTAGCTCATGGAGCATAGATTAGCATTGCAGTTGCCTGGCTGGAAGCAGAACTATTCAGAAAATCAATAAGATGTTTCATTTAAAAATCTAACCTGAAGCTCTCTTATTCCAAGTTCTGTTTCTTAATGTTCTTTAATTTTTTTTGAAAATAAAAATTGAACTGGGAACAATAAGTAACACCCGTCACATCCCACTCACATTTTACACTTCCTTTTAACTGCTCAACTATAGACTTAACATGCGCTGACGCTGAGGGGAAAGGTAGTGCTTTCTGCAAAAGCTATATGTCAGTGGAAACTGCTGCAGCTTCTTACAGTCTTCAGCTGTATGATGTTTGTCTCGATATCCAATTAATCAGATCTGGTTTTCTTCTGTAGCAGTTTTCCCTAAGCCAACAGCAATACCTTTATGGTTTGAAGTTACAATAGAAACAATAGAAAACTTTTTTTTTTTCTATTGAGCAGGCTTTTCAGAAATACCTATCAGAAATGCATGATGTTTAGGGCGAATTCATCCAGTTTCACACAGCTGGTACTGTTAAACTGCCTCTTCTGCCCTGTAAAGGGAGCAGGAGATGAGAGAGAAGAGGACAGACTCTGGGTAGTTCTTGATCAACAAGGTGAGAGATACTGAGCTGGATTGCTGGAGACACTTGTATAGGCTTTTATGCAGTGCTCTAGTAGCCAAGATCAGTCTGACAAGCCTTGTACAGATAAGTGTCAACATCAGTGGGAAGCTTGCCAGTTGCCTCTTTTCCTTAGATTGAAGAAGAGAGGGCAGTTATAAATACAAATGTTGAGCTAGGTGAGATAGAAATAAACTGTTTTCTGGCTGATCTAAATAAAGCTTATGGTTTCCAACGGAGGTGAGGAGGCTAGAAACTAAATGAAACTGAAAAGTAACTTTTAAAATAAGTGTGATTGCGTGAACTTCAGGATGCTCACTTCTAAATCATAATTAGAAGAGGAAAAAAACAGTATTGAATAACACTATGAGGAAGTAGAACTGCTTCCGATTCCAAATTTGTAATTGGTACTTCATCAAACATGAACTTGACACTACTGCTTACAGTAGCCAGTCTGAAAAGACAGCTAAAGATGTCAAGTATTTAGTAGACTGAGTATCCAGAAATCATTTCCATTATCTTCTTTCTACAGGATGATCTACTACTTGGATCCATCTGTTCTTTCGGGCGTCTCCTGTTTTGTTATGTTCGTCTGTTTGGCTGATTACCTTGTTCCTGCTCTTGCACCTAGAATCTTTGGCTCTAACAAGTGGTGAGAAAAGCTAAAATAGTTTCTTGAGTATTAACTATGTTAGAACTTTATCAAAGTGATAGCTGACTTTGAAATGTCAAACTATATATAAAGGCATTATAAGAGGCTGGCAATCTCTATATGTGAAGTAAGGATTCATAGGAAAATGCGCTGTTTTCTTCTGTTCTTGAAAGAACTGCTGCAGTGTATCTTTATTGTTCCTTCTCCCAGCAAAAGGATGCTATTTAGTTATGCTAAACTAGTTTTTACTAATTAATGGATATTAGATACTGACAAATACTGACAAATTAGATACTGAATCATATATTCAGAAAGAGAGTAGTAGACTGTTTTTTTTTAAAAAAAAAGTTTTTTTTTAAAAAAAAAAACACAAGTATAATGCATATAGATGTCATCGTAACTGGTAGGTTTCATATGAAAATTCTCCTTTTCCCCTTCTCCAATAAAAGGACTACTGAGCAGCAGCAAAGATTTCATGAAATTTGCAGTAATTTGGTAAAGAGTCGTCGCAGAATTATTGGTTGGTGGAGACGTCTCTTCACACTGAAGGAAGAGAAGCCTAAGATGGTATCAGAATTTCAGTTCTTCTGTGTTGTCTTTCTTTAAGTGTTTTAGCAGGGTTGTATCTGAAAAATATGGGGGTTTTGCACCTATATATTAATGTGCATATACACTCTCCTGAAACCAGCTTCAGGTACTATGTTAAACAAACGTTTATCAGCTGGGATAGCATAATCTGGCTCCATGATAAATATCTAGATGGAAAAGAACCTAGATGCTGTAAAACTGATAAACCAAAACTAAATGAGGAAATGTGGACTTGATTATCTCATAATTTTATCAGGCCTTTGCGTAAGTGTTGCATGTGAAAGGGGCAAAGAATTTAAAGACAGTTGTAAACTTCGAACTAATGTCTCATATTGAAGCGAGGGGGCAGAATTCCCAACAGATTATTGGTTGTCATTCTTCTCATTTTCTTAGTACTTCATGACCATGCTGTGTTCTCTTGCTGTGGTTGCCTGGATAGGACAGCAAGTTCACAATCTCTTTCTCACATATCTTATTGGTAAGTTCACAGTATGCAAAACTGAAATAACTTTTTTTTTGTTACATGCTTATGTAGATATGAAGCTAGCGGAAGCTAGTTTAGATTATTTGAGTGTGATGGGTTTTTTTTTTGGGGGGGGGGGGTTAATTTTTTTTTAAACAGTTAATGGGATTTAAGGAAAATAAGATATTGTAAGTTGAAAGGAGTGTTTAAAAAGAGTATTAAATAATTCTGTTTCATTGTGTTTTTTTTTTTCTTTTTAGTAAGTTTCTTGCTGCTGTTTCCTGGACTAAACCAGCATGGGATCATTACAAAGTACATTGGAATGGCAAAAAGGGAGATAAACAAACTTCTCAAGCACAAGGAAAAGAAAAATGAATGAAGACTTAACTGCTGTTCACTCCTGTAAAAGGTTTCCATGGGAACAGTTTTGAGAATTAATGTATAATTAAGATAATAGAAAGAAGTTGTCTTGCTCATTGGCTTACTTTTTATTGACTCCCTGTGAAAATGTCACTCTAGCAACTGCTGTGGATTTGTGTCCTTCTTGCTCTGTTGCTGATGATTTTGCAGTCTGCAGCTGATCTCATATGAAAGATCCTGACTTTTGACTTGTGGAGCTTATTAATCTCTTCATAAAAGTAAGAGGCCCCATAAATAAGTACCCCAACTCAAACAGCAATATTGTAATGTACGAATAGCATTGTTGTAATTGTTAGCTTCACCGATCATTGATATGGTTTGTGGCTACCACAGGTATGGAAGTTTCTAAATCTCACACTTTTTGGAGACTTATTACTACTGATTTTTGTGGAAAGATAATTACCTGAATAAGAATGCAGAATAATTACAGCTAAGGGTGTATATCCAGAATTGGGGGCAGAAGTTGATGCTATTGCCTTGCTGAACCTTTCTTTGCTTACTGGGCTGCATAGATCAGATTGTCTGTGAAATAGGATTCTGGAATACCTACTTTTTTTTTCAGTTATTTAGCATAAAATTCAACTTATTGCACTGAAATTGTAGAAACTGAGTTAAGGTGTGTGTTACCGTAACAGCTGATTGTTCTAAAAACTGCTGTTGTGGAGTCATGTAGTGCATTTGGTTTTATGAATGTTGTCTGTACACATAATCATCTAGGTAGGATAGATTTGTCTCTTGTAAATAAGCCTGTCTGAATTGTTTGTGCTTTTCTATGACTTCTCCTTTCTTTCTTTTTTTTTTTTAACTGAACATTTTTCTTTAAAAAGCTAAAACCTGTGTTAATGAGTTTTTACTATTTTAAAATGAACTCTTCTCAGTATCTATTGTAATTGTTGAATAGATAAATACAGACTTAAGAGAAACCTCTTTCTTTTGTTCTTTGAATGTAAAGTTGTTAATCTAGAGCTGGGCCTGGGTATGTGTGAGTGGCACGTGGTCATCCTGTAGAGTGCTAGCTCAGTGCACAGTGTTAATACAAAAGCACCATTTGTTCGAAATAGTCCATAGCAAATAGTGAAACTTGTACCTGGTGAGTAGTGACAGCTTCTGCTGTAGAACACCATCTGTACTTGATTAAAACTGATAAAGTGGAATATATGGAAGTATTGTTAGGAAAGAGAAAAATGCCCACTAAGTCAAATGTGTAACAGGTCTGAAATGCAGATTGAGATGCTCCAGTGCAATATTGTAAACTTTGTTTAGAAAATGCTGTTTGCGCAAGAGACATGTTCTCATTTGTGTTTCTGCAGAGTTTCAACTTCAGTCAGTTGTCTTGGGCTGCCTTTCTGTTAACCTGAGACCTTCAGCTCCTGGTGTAAATCCCCAAAACAGGGAGTACTACTGCAATGCATAGGGCCTGATTACTGCTTAAATACAAATCAAAGGTGTTAGGATTCCTACGCTCTTATTTTTTGATACATAGATTTAAGCCACTGTCAGCTTGCAATTCTGTTCCTTCAAACAACCTTGAATGGGGGATAAAGAGGGGAACCTTTCACGATATAAGCTCAGCCTCCAGGGCATTGTGCTCTTTGGCTACCATTTTTTTAATAGGTCGCTTAAAAACTGTGCAAACCCTTTGCCTTTCAAGGCTGTAAGGCAAATTTCTTTTGTTTCCCCACAGCTCTGGTTAATGTTTTCACCAGGTGCTGTAGTGTGACCCTTAGCAGGGAGCTAAAGAGAGCCCAGGGGAAAATGTCTGGAGGAAGGGGACCTTTCACAGCTTCACTGGTTGCCCTGCTATGCGTTTGCCA